TAAGTGAAAATGAGACTGAACAGACATGCTATTTTTCATTCTACTCTTCACTTATCTGGGTATTTCTCTCAAAAGCCTTTATTTGGGGCTGGTGAGATGGCTCAGTGGTCTAAAGCACCTACTTAGAACAAGCTTAAGAAAGCACAGGGACCGTGGTTCAATCCCCCAGCACCACATGCCAGCCAACCCCGCCCCCTGGTGGGCTGAGCTGGCCACACACACACACACATAAATTTTTTTTAAAAAAAGCCTTTATTTACAAGATTACATTCAATTACATGCAAGCACAAAACAAATACTTTTTTTTTTTTTTAATGTGCTTGGTTGCTGCTGGGTCTCACTATGTAGCTTGGACTTGGGGTGATCCTCCTGCTTTCAGTCTCCCCAGCACTGGGATTACAGGTGTATGCCACCATGCCTGGCTCAGCCTGCCCTGAGGGCAGGGCTGGAGAGGCATATGGTGCTGGGATCAAACCGTGGACCCTGCACTTGCCTAAGCAGGTGCTTTTAGTCCGCTGGGCTATCTCACCAGCCCCTTTTTGCTTTTTGAGACAAGTCTTCACTATACAGTTCAGAAAGAGGGCCTTCTGGCCTCAAACTCACAAGGATCTTCCTGCCTCAGCCTCCTGAGTGTTGGGATTACAGGTGTGCACCAGCATGCCTGGCCAACTACAAGTTATTCTTAACCATCTTAGAAAGTTAAATTCCATTTCACTATGGAAAAACAGTACCAAATTTTAAAATGCCAAAAGCATTTTAGTATATAAACTTTATAGGACTTACTTCAAAAAAATCATTGCCCTCCTAGAACAACAACCTTTCACTCTTTTAATATCAACCAAGGAAATAAATTCAGGCACTGTATCAACAACAAGAGGCAGAAAAATCTAGCTTTCCAGTAACTTATTACTGCTGACTACAAAAAAATATGGTAATTATCATTTGTAATCCCACAAGGCAGGATGGGGAGTAACCTATTTTTGCATCTGATGTTAAAATGCTAGAGCCCAAGCCAAGCAGAGCGGCACACAGCTGTAATCACAGCACTCAGGAAGCTAGGGCAGGAGGACCATGAGTTCAAGGACAGCCAAGGCTACACAGCCAGTCTGAGGCAAGACCTTGTCTCTAAATAAAGTGAATTTAAAAAGAGGTGGGATAACATGCAGCTCAGTGGTAGAGCACCTGCTAGCATGTACAAGAACCCGGGTTCAATTCCCCAACTATAGTTGGAGGGGGAAGAAACCAGAACTAAAGGTAGGATATGTATGTTTGCATAATTTAGTAAGAATCTTTTAAGACAGGGTGGAGAATATGCTCTCATTAGCACTGCTTGCTACCAGTGGTATACCATATGTTAACTATTATTCTATGAAGTTAATAGATAAGCAAATCTTAACTATACCATTTTATTGAGTAACCTTTAGCAATTTGACATTTCTATGTTTTTCTTTTCTTTTGGTGGTACTGCAGATTGAACCCAGTGCCTTCACACTAAACTACATCATCCCTTTTAAATACTTGTTTATTTATTTCTTTATTTGGCACAGGGTCTCACTACACAGCTTGAACTCACAGTGATCCTCCTGTCTCAGCCTCCCCAGCACTGGGATTACATGAGATTACAGGCATGTGCCACCACACCTGGTTTTGGTGGCTGGGGCTGGCAAGGCATGTGGTGCCAGGGATTGAACCCAGGTCCCTGCACTTTCCAGGTAGGCACTTAGACCTCTGAGCTATTTCCTCAGCCCCCTTAGACCTTTTTAAAAATTTTCATACTGGGTCTCAGTTGCTGTATTGCTCAGGCTTGGGTTGAACTTGTGATCCTCCTGCTCAGTCTTCCTGTGTGCTGGGACTACAGGTGTGTGCCAACTTCAGCTAAAACTTTGGCATTTCTGAACTTTAATTTCTTCATTTATAAACCACTGATTTTTTTTAAATCTAGTGAATTATAGTATATTATAATATAATATAATGAATCAATGGTTAGGAGATGAGAGTCTTTGATATTTAGCATATTTGTATTACAAGTTCTAATTCCCTTATGACAAGAAACTTAAACTATTTGATCTGCCACTGGTAAACAAACCTATGTTTTCTCTACTGACGTCTTAGCACTATTATTCAAAGAACAACAAAACATCTTTTCAATAGCAAGTTTAAAACAAGTGGTTTAGGGAGCCGGGGTGATGGTTTGGTGAAATAAGCACTTCCCTGACAAGCACAAGGGCCTGAGTTCAATCCCTGGTTCCGCCAAAAAAATAAAAATAAAAATAAATAAAACAGGGGCTGGAGAGATGGCTCTGTGGTCTAAAGCACCTACTTGGAACAAGCTTGGCAAAGCACAGGGACCGCGGTTCAATCCTCCAGCACCACATGCCAGCCAGCCGCGCCCCCTGGTG